CACTAGTGACCAGTCCCAACATCTTCGGAATTATCATCCAACTCTTTCGGAATTCTCTGCATTGGCAGTCAATACTTTCAGGCTCAAATATGAGTACCCACTAAAAAATAATGGATGTTCGGTTGGTTGTTTTGTTTTATGGCATATCAAAACCTCAGTGGGTCATTTAATGCCAACACAATTTTGTAATAGATTCATAGCGATAGTTTGGTAAAAAAGGTGTTTATATATATATATATATATATATATATATATATATATATATATTTGAACCATTTTTCAATTAATATTTTTAGTACAATCCAACTTAAGAATATATAGCTATTTATATTAATGTTTTGGTTTTTTAAAGTATTGCTGATAATAATTTTTCCCTTCAAAAAATTATTGCTAGTGATAATTTTTTTTTATTACAAACTATTTCTGGTATCAAAACCTATTTTTACACAAGTATGAGTGTTAACTCTTTGCCCATAGCTGGGAGCCTAAAAGGTGCTACCACCCCGGGTCACGGTGGACCTGGGAACACCAGCAATTGAAAGGTGGTTCCACGCTCCTCAAAACCTCCTGACCAGAGGCCTTGCTGCTCGACGTAGTTTATCGTCTTACCCAGGACACGGATGTAGTTAATCGTCATACCCAGGACGGACAAGATTTTATATTGCTGGTAATAACTTTTTCATCACAAAGTATTTCTGGCATCAAAACCTATTTTTACACAAGTTTGAGTATTAACTCTTTGCCCATAGCTGGGACCCTAACAGGTGCTACCACCCCGAGTCAGGGTGGACCTGGGAACACCAGCAATTAAGAGGTGGTTCCACGCTCCTCAAAGCCTCCTGATCAGCGTCCTTGCTGTTGGACGTAGTTTATCGTCTTACCCTGGACGCGGATGTAGTTTATCGTCTTACCCTGGACGCGGATGTAGTTTATCGTCATACCCAGGACGGATTTAAAATGACTGAGATATATATGTACATATCAGAGGAAATGGTTGGAATCCGACAAATATTTCTTGTATTTTCTTTTTAGACGTTATTTTTTATGCATACACTTATTTGAATAAATGCTCTGTTCTTTTAATTAAACAATATTAATTACATTTACCGGTCTAGATGTTCAGGAAACATACATCCTCCATCGTTGAACGGTCATACTACGACAGGCTTAATAGCATATTTTTTTAATGGTTATTTGGTAGAAAGATACGACCAAAAGAATTATTATCAGGGGCAGCTGAAAGTGTACCTTTCACTGATGTAATTACTTTCAGCTGCCCCTGATAATAATTCTTTTGGTCGCATCTTTCTACCAAATAACCATTTGACCGAACGTATCTCTCATAATCTAAATGCATTAAAAATTAGAACTACTATATTACCTACTAGGACTATCCGTAGTTTATTAAATAGCACCAACAGACAACATATTACATCCGATGCTTGCATCTATCAAATATCATGCAAAAACTGTGACCTAAAATATGTGGGTGAAACATGTAGGTCCGTAAAATCTCGTGTTTTCGAACATAAACGAGATATTCGCCTCGGAAATTTTAACAATGCTTTAGTTGTACACACAACTAAAGCAGATCATAATTTCGATTTTGATTCCGTGAAGATTTTAAAATATTTTCATAATAAAAATCTTAGGCGGATTTATGAAGCAGGCATTATATCCATCTCACGCACGGTGAATACTAGACCTGGCTTCTTTAGTATTTCCCCTTTTCTAGCGAGATTAATGCTCGACAAGCGTACATATAAATTTTAGTTCAAAATAAAATTCTTTTCATTTTTCATTCAAAATGCTCAAAATTTTAGGAATACGTTTTCACAGCGTCGCCCACATGACGACAACGTGGCCATGTTTTAAACAGAGCGCTGATCTTATAAAACTTTCAGCTATTTGTTTGGATAAGACTTGTTCTTATGTACATCGTCTTTGTCATGTTGTATTGATAATGTTATATTTATGAATATGACCTGAAGATGGTTTATTAGACCGAAACGTCCGACGTTGACATATTAACATTAAAACATCATAATTGTATATAAGGATTTTTGTTTTGTTTTTCCGTATATATTTTTCTTCATACTGTCGGATCTATATCCATATATTTGCCTAAATATATATATATATATGTGTGTGTGTGTGTGTTGGACACTCCCGTCGTATTCGACGTTTGAGGGCCAAACAGCCCAGACACCATTTGATTATAGTGGTGAAGGCTTTCTACACACTTTCTTGAAGGGCCGAATACAGACGTTCCACAAGGTCCCCATGTGCCATAAGGTTCCCAAACGACCCTCAGCAGCTTTTGAATTCAGAGTTGTCCTTCTCCTAGACCAGTTGCCAACCAAGGCTATAGAACCCTATAGCTGGGGGAGAAGAGGATTAATAGATTTCCCAATAAATGACAATAGGAAAGATAGAGGAATTTTTATATATATATATATATATATATATATATGTGTGTGTGTGTGTGTGTGTGTGTGTG